TCCCTACAATTTAATTCCTTCTATGGAAGCACACCCTGCAGCACCCGTGCAAACCAACATCAATTCAGATATTGGACCTCATTGAGTTCTTCTCAGAAATCACACCAAACTGCCTCGAGAACTTTAGTTTCAAGCTTCAGAAAGGGTAATCGAATGATAAAGAGTTGTACTACGTACATCACTTCAATAATTTCTGTTGCCAACCAATCTAGGAAGCCTTGATTTGATGGAGAGGAAGAGGGTTCGAGCGTGACCAGATCCCCAGTCGGCAGCTGATTGTTGATCTGGCTGGAAACAATTAAATGGGAGAAATTCCTGAATACATAATGAGTCCTTTAGACCTGGTTGTGCTGAGCCTATTGAGGAACAATTTGACCGGACTAATCACTCCAGTGAAACAGTCGCGATCACTTGATTTCTCAGGAAATCAATCATCCGGCATAATTCCAGCCACCAAGCCTGATCTAACATTTGTGGGTTACTCGGTCTTCTCCTAAAATAACTTGTCAGAGAGAATTCCACTAAGCACCCAGCTTCACAGATTTGATGCATCTGCTCTTGCTGGTAATTCTGTACTATGAGAGCTCCTGGTCACGCAGAAATGTACTGGAGATAATACACTTCTGAGTCTACCAACTGATGCATGCCCACAATCCAGAGAATGAAGAAAATAAATATTTGCTTGTTGTCTAACAATATATTAGTTGAATAAATTTATTTATTTTTAACCGAGGATGCATGTGACTCGAAATATTTTATGCCTGAAGAAGTTTATCACATTATAAGAGGGAATGCCCAGTTTATTACACCATTCTTCTACAATAATATTGTAACCCTGATGAACTCAATTTCTTATTAATTTTAATCTAGGACACAGGACTAGTGAAGACACCTAGAAAGATATCTAAACAATCTTTCTCCAGCCAAACAGTTTCATTTTCTCGTGGTACGAGGATGTGGTGGGATGCTCTGTTCATACCTGAAGAAGTTTTCAGGATCAACTCTGGTCTTCACCTTTACCAATCTGTTGAAGTTACCCTTGAAGTACTTGGTTCCCCAAACCCGTGCTTCTTCAATGCTTGTGTTAGCCTTCTCGTTCATGCCCAGATCAATGTCCCTGTGATTGAGGTATGCTTCCCTTGGATTCTTGGAAACATAAGGTGTCATGTACTCATAAACCTTCCGAGCCCAATCAATTTGAGTTGCACTCTCCGAGGGATCATTCCAGTTGGTCGCATACTCAAGCATGAACAAGTTACCCTTTCTATGAGGGAAAGGAATCTCAGATTTTGAAATTTTATCCATCATTCCACCATAAGGGATTAGTAAGGTAGCAAGCTTGTCTTCTTGAAAGAAAATTTTCCATAACCCTTTGAGTGCAGTTTCAGATATGGGACTTTGGGCAAAGTCTGACTTGCTTTTGGTGTAAGCCGGGAATAAATTCTTCCTCTGAAGTAAAACTTCAGGAGTTGAATTGGCGGGGAAGAAAGCTTCATGAAGTACTGAACCGATCCATTCCATTTCAATACAATCCTTCCTTGCTAAACCCAATTCAGGGAAACTTTTTTGCATCACTTCGAGGAGTCTGCTGGTATCACCAAGAAAAAAGCCACTGTAGATAGTTCTTACGGTTTTTTTACCTGTGTCACTAGCAATAGCCGGTCGTATGCCAACGACTAAGTAAAGATCCACATCAAATTTATTAGCAACTTGTTGCCATCTATAGAGGAGCTTAGTAGCTCCTTGTTCCAAGAACCTGAAAACCCTAAAAACTGTCACAGTTGATGGTACGGGAACCAGTTTTACTTTCCAGGCAGTAATGATTCCAAAGCTGGCTCCTCCACCTCCCCTGATTGCCCAAAAAAGATCTTCTCCCATGGCTATCCGGTCAAGGAGTCTTCCCTGAACATCAACTATACGAGCATCAATGACATTGTCTGCGGAAAGGCCATATTTTCTAAACAAAGGGCCATATCCACCTCCCGAAAGGTGCCCACCAAGGCCCACACTGGGACAAGCACCAGCTAGGAAGCCAAGATTTTTACTTTTCTCTGAAATCCTATAGTGAAGTTCACCAACTGTAGCACCTGCATGAGCCCACGCACTCTTACGCTTGATGTCAACGCTAATGGAACGAAGCTTGCCCAGGTCTACCACAATGAAAGGTGTATCAATTACGGAGGTGTACGAGAGTCCTTCAAAGTCATGGCCTCCACTGCGAACTCTAATGTGAACTCCAAGCTGTTTTGAGCAAACAACAGCAGTTTGGACATGGGATTCTTGCAACGGTGTGAAAATAAACTCAGGTTTCGGCACTGAAGGCAATGCGAACCTGAGATTTTGAGCAGTGGACAGCAAGACATTAGTGAATGAAGAGTTGTTTGGAGTGTACAAGATAGTGGAGAAAGGAAAGGAGGATTCAGAATATAGTGAGAGACATTTAAGAAATTTATCCTGAATTGGAAGGGAAACTATAAAGAAAGGAAATGAAAGGAGAATTACAAGCATTGAGACAATGGAAGAACCCAATCGAAGCATTTTGCCTCTCTTTTCTTTTCTTGTTTGTGTTTAGAAATTGATTGAGAGAGCTATTATTTGTTGATGCATCTACTCCTACAGTCAACTTCACACATTAGTTTTTGGTTTTGTTCTTAAAACTGGATTGGCTAGTAAATAAAAAAAAGCTGTTAACTTAATAAAAATTAGATTAATTTTTTTAATTTGTGATACAACCCTAATCACGGATTAATTCCCTGATGATGTTTTAAAATTATAGTTTTTTATTCTATAAATAAAAATTAGGTTTTTTTACTTAATTTTAAAAATACATTTAATCATGAATTGATATATTTTAAAAAATAAATTTTATTGAATGATGGTATTAATAATTTCTTTTAGTATCATATCAACTTTTATAATTAAGATAAAGAAGATATATACTGATAAATAAAAAAGTATCTTAACAGTCCATGTAGTGAGCAAAATAATTGTTTAAAATATGCGATCTTATAATATTAAAGATCCGATAGACCTTTTCTTTTTATTTATTTAGAGACCAGCAATCTTATAATATTAATTGAAGAATGAGCTGTGCTTGAAGATGACAGTTTTCGTGTTTTTGACTTGTTTCGCGTAGTGATCTCTCGTATGTCTGCTTGCATAATCTTTGTCATGTTCTGATTTTTATATCAATAAATCGGATCTCATGTTTTTTTTTTTAATATAAAAACACAATAGCACATATTAATGGCTCTCAATTTTTTTTTTGAAAATTTGAAGAACGTTAAAATTTTGCCAAAAATTATAACAACTTGAATTAATTTTAATTTTTTATATTCACTCGCATGAAACTTGAGCCCTTTAAATTTAAAACTATAAGTGGGGTAGATTAACCTAGATTAATTATAATTAATTTAAAATAATATTATTTTGATTAAAAAATAATTTAATCAAGTCATAAATTAATTTATTAATTAAAAATTTAATTAGATTATGTTTATTTTTACGTTAAAAATAGTTCTGAAAATTTTTGAATATTTGTTTTTACTTCAAATTAATTTTTTTTATGATTTTGGATTGTTTTAATGTGTTGGTATCAAAAATATTTTTTTTAAAATTATTATTTTAGTATATATTCAAATAAAAAAACTGAAAAATAGCCATTATTTTACTTTCAAATACTTTTTAATTTAATTCTTATTCAATTGAACATGAAGCAGGGAGTGCAGTTGAGTTTAATAATAATTCTATAAAAATGCAAGAGAACAAAGTAGGTGGCAACGACAACTAATTCTATTGCTGTATTGGGCATTCAGCGGATAAGATCGTAGAAAATCCAAGGAAACGGGGACAGCAAGCATCACAGCTGCCCACATGCCATTTTTCGATTAATTAGCTTCTCTCGCACTTGGACACCACGTGCTCATTAATCGGCGAGATGAGATGCTTTGTTCATGGCTTATGAAGGTGTTAGATACTGCGGCGGTGGAGTTTGTTTTTATTTATAAATATATTAAAATAATATTTTTTTATTTTTAAAAATTATTTTTAATATTATCCAATCAAAATAATTTAAAAATATTAAAAAAATAATTTAAAATTATTTTTAACATTTATAAAACCTATAGATATGGTTTCAATTCCTTGAAGGTCTTAAAATTACAACATTTGGATTTATCATATATCTCCTTGGCATTACCAGTTACATCTTCAAAGTTACATCTTCAATGGAGGGCTTTTTTTGCCGTCACAATCTTATTAGGATATTGGTATGCAAACCTGACAAGATAAAAGGTAAGAGACAAGATAAAATG